AAGATGTGTGTGTGCAGATACATTTGGAAATGGGGAGCATGTGCAAAGTTTTATTTTACTAACCAGTGGGTCTGTTTGCTCTGCCTTTGATCCTGTGTCGACAAATTCATTTCCATCATATTTCAGGCAGGCTTTCTCTGCTTTTGGTTTTGTTGTTTATTTCCTAGCGCTTGCATGGTTAGATGTTTAAGCATTTGACTTAAATCTCTTTTTGTCTATAACTATTATTATTATTGCTGTTATTGAATTTGTATGCTGCCCTTCATCCAAAGATCCATAGTGTTTCACAACATAAAATACAAAATGAGAACACAAAATATGTAATAAAAAACAAAAACAAGCCAATAATCCCCTCCCACAACACTTGGAAAACTTCGTAACAAGAAAAGTGGTTCATTATTGATGCTAGAGAATCAGTTAGGCTTTCATAGAGGAAGGTTGATAGGGTAGAAGCATAGAATTGTACAGTTGGAAGGGATCCTGAGGCTCATCTAATCCAGCTCCCTGTAATAATAATAATAATAATAATAATTTTATTTATACCCCGCCCTTCCTGGTTCAGAAAACCGGGCTCAGGGTGGCTAACAACAAATTTAAAACACTTAATTGATGCAACAAAAAACAGCATAAAATACAGAATAAAATGTGAATAACAATAAATTCAGAATTCAAAAATCAATTTAGGGGGAAATCCATCCAATAAACATTAGATGATCACCAGGGCTAGATGGCTAAATTAGGCTAAATTAGTCCTATTTGGGCCAGCAGGAGACCAGGGGAGAATTAGCTGTGGGATCCCAGAGCGGGTAATCTTCATAAAAAGGGGAGGGGAGGGAAGGAAGGAAGAGGAATAAAAGATCAGGCTAAGTTCAGACTGAAAGCTAGATGGAATAGCTCTGTCTTACAGGCCCTGCGGAAGGGCAGGGCCCTGGTCTCATGGGACAGAGCATTCCACCAGGTCGGAGCCATCACTGAGAAGGCCCTGGCCTTGGTGGAGGATAATCTGACTTCCTTAGGGCCGGGACCTCTAAACTATGATTATTCATGTTCCTCTGTGGGCATACCAGGAGAGGCGGTCCTGTAAATATGAGGGCCCTAAGCCACCAGGTATCACCAATTATATAAGAACGCGCCAGTTCTTCTTTTTTTTAAGAGTGCAAGGTAGTTCCATACAAACTACTAGGGCAAATCCTCATCGCTTATCTGCATGGCTTCACGCTCTTATATTATGGTCAATATTGCATGGCTCAGAATATATTTAGTTAACTAGTTAGTCACATACACCAAATGATAAACACCTTTGATTGGGCTGACTAAGCTAGCACTTAGCATCTTAAATGTAAGATTTATTTACAGCCACATAGTGTTTCTCACAACTTACTCTCTTGTTTTCCTTAGTAGTTTTATAGATAGAACTAGCAGCTATCATTTTAAACAAAACAGAGGATGGATTTTTTTGTGGAAATCTGTTCATTAGAAGTAGTTACAATGCAATAGAAATCAAAACATTTTGTTAAATGTTAAATCTCTCACTGCTGACGTGGATCTCCCCCACCTTACTGATTTACAGATTAAAAATACCAGTTCTGAAGCAGAGACAGAATATTGGATGGATTATGTTAAAGACAGGTAAGATATTTATTATTTCGTTTCAAATATTTTGTCCTGTCCTGGAAAATATCCCACAGGATTTCAGATGCCATCTTAATTTGGGTAATATTATGCGTCCTCTTTTTAGTGGTACAGAATGTTTTCCTTATGTTACAGCGAAGCCAAATTTTGAGCTCCTCTGCCCCCCCTTTGTAGGTTGGGCTGTGGCATGGAGAGGCAAGCATGGAGCTTTGCCTGACAATCGCTTTCCTGGCTCCAGGGATAGGAGAGTATGAGTTATGGTCCCTGGTGCCCCAAGGTAAAAAGGTAAGGTAAAGGACCCCTGGATGGTTAAGGTTCACAGTCAAAGGGCGAACGTATGGGCCTTGTGGGTGCCCCTTCATCTCAGACATTTCAGGGCCGGAGGGAAAGCCGGCAGTGTCACAGACAGCTTCCTCCCAGGTCATGGTGGCCAGCATGACTAAACCGCCTTCTTGCGCAATGGGACACTGTGACGGAAGCCAGAGCACACAGAAAGGCCTTCCGCCACAGTGGTACCTATTTATCTACACCCTTGTGCAAATTAATTGAACAAAGAATGTTTCTGTCTTACTCGTAATCCTGTACTCAAAATAAACAGGAAAAGTTACTTGATCATTGTGGTGTCCGAAGCCTGCAGCCAACAGAAGGAATGATGTGCTTGCCACAATATATTGAGGTTCTACCAAAGAGAGTTATTTCCAGAGCTGGAAAAGAGGGTATCCTGACAGTACTGGGATATTGCAGCAGGACGTAGCCCCCTGTCACACATCAAAAGTGGTGAAGAAATTCATGACAGAGCAGTACTTGATTGGCCAGGGAATTCCCCAGACATATATCCCATTGAGAATTTGTGGGCTATATGCAAAAGTCGCCTCCGTGCTGCAGACTGTACAACTATGGAGAAGCTCATTCAGGCGCTGATTCAAGTGTGGTACAGGGATCCAAAAATCAACAGTGATTTTCGAAACTAGTAGACTCCATGCCAAACCGTGTTCAAATTCAGCTTAAAAATAGCAGTTACTAATGTACGTATATGTGAGTTTTGTAGACTAAACAACATTGTTTCAATTAACGTGCACAAGGGTGTACTAGTACTGATGTGCTTTTGAATTGCTAGGTTGGCAGGAGCTGGGACAGAGCAACAGGAGCTCATCCTGTCGCGGGGATTCGAACCACCGACCTTCTGACCGGCAAGCCCAAGAGGCTCAGTGGTTTAGACCAATACACACTCCCAAGCCTCAGAGCTTGAAAAGGGGCAGTGATTGTCTTAGCATTATGTCTGAACTCGGGCTCACAGTTTGCCTTACTTCAGACAAACCTTGAGCAGTGAACCCCAGAACAAACCTTTGGTGTAGCTTTGCATGCAAGCTGAGTCACTGCATTTCATATTGGCGTAGACACTGCTTTTATATTTTACCAACCATCAAGCGACTTGCTTGAGATTTTAACTATTTGAAAGTAGCTTACAGTTTATTGCTACAGTTAAACAAAGACCCTTTACTTGGATTTGGATATAAAAGTAATGAGGCAAACTACCCAGTATTTTTACTGGAATATTTTATTTCTGTTTTATAGTTCCTTGAAGCAATTCAGTTAAAAGATTTCATATAATGAAGCTTCTCCTTGAAAAAACCAAAAACATCACAAGAGATATTCAATTGGGTCTGCGGTCACATGGCAATTTTTTGGTCTTCCTGGCATTTCCTGTTATTTTCTGCATTGCATTTGATCTTTCACCCCAACGGAAATCTAGTTGAATTTAGCATTAATTGCTTTACAGATAAATTCTGTATCCAACTCTTTTAGCTTGGAAAACCACAGGAATCTGGCGTTGTAATTTCATGTGACAAATTTTGGGGCGGTATCCCAGCATGCACTCCTTTCCTGCCATTTAAAATTTAGTGTAACATGGTAGTATATCAGTTTAATGTAACGTGATATATCAATCAATTTTAGTGTAACATGGTGATATATCGATCAAAAAGCCGCCACTCCAGAATGAAACAAGTACTTCCGTGTGAAAGGAACTTTTGAAATCAGGACAGAAATGTTATATATAATAAAAAAAACTAACACAGTAATCCCCTCATCTGAATTTGCTCAGAATGATTGAACTAATGGACTTAAGTTAACTGATTTCAGTAGGTCTGCTCTATGTATGATGAATGTTGTTAATTGCTAGATGCAGCTACTGAAATAGTCCTAAATGTGACTTGTTCTTATCTATCTCATTTTCTTTACCTGTACCAATAAAATGTTTCATCTGCATCTATGTGATTCATGGTCTCGCTTAAAACATTTAGGGTTGTAGAAAGAGTGGTTTTCTTTTATGAGAGATTAGAAGTCGTCGGTGTGGTGTAATGGATAAAATATTAGTCTTGAATCAAGAATACTTGAGGTTGAAGGGATGCGGGTGGCGCTGTGGTCTAAACCACTGAACCTCTTGGGCTTGCCGACCGGAAGGTTGGCGGTTCGAATCCCTGCGACGGGGTGAGCTTCCTTTGGTCTTTCCCAGCTCCTGCCAATCTAGCAGTTCGAAAGCATGCCAGTGCAAGTAGATAAATAGGTACCGCTTGTGGTGGGAAGGTAAATGGCGTTTCCATGTGCTCTGGTTCTGTTGCACCAGAAGCAGTTTAGTCAGGCTGGCCACATGACCTGGAAAGCTGTCTGCGGACAAATGCTGGCTCCCTTGGCCTGAAGCGAGATGAGCGCCACAACCCCATAGTAGCTTTTGACTGGACCTAACCGTCTAGGGTCCTTTACCTTTTACTTGAGGTTGAATCATTTCTCAACAATGAAGCTTATGACTCTGTCAGCCTAAGCAACCTTCTAGAGTTGTTAGGATATGATGAGAGTTCCTTGGACAAAGAGTGGGACAGATATGTAGTAAACTTTGAAATGGAGTTTTGAACATGCAAGGGCTTTCAAAACTCCATTTCAACGTTTTGATACATTTCCTGAAAAATGCTGTTGGTGTTGAGGCTTAAGGATGTTCGTAATACTCCTTTCTATTTTTTTTTTAAATATATATATATAAATTGACTGGGATCTGATTTGGCATGTTTGTGTTATGTGTTCCACATGGTTTTAATTTACACACGCCCCATTTAGTGACTGGAATTGTGACACGTTATATAAATTTAAACTAAAGGTGTTCATAATCAGAATGTATATGAATATATCTATGCACCTGCTAGGGACAGTCACCTGAAAATGCAATTTTCCACTTCTCAAATTCATTGGTATTCATCCATAATATTCCAAATAAATTTCCCATGTTTGAGGTTAGTGGTAGTATATTTTTCTGCCCTACATGACTGATCTTTGCTGTGACTACTCACACTCAGGTCTGTGATTGCAGTAATCGAGTCACAGATTGGAAATTATTTGGTGCCGTGCATGTGCGTAATATTTGTGAATATAGACTATTCTGTGTAAATCATGTATGTTTAACAGCAGAAGGAAGGGCAGCCTAAAGATTAATCCAAAGGAATAAAGTGCTGAACTTCTAAATGTCCTTTGAAGGTAATTAATACACCTGCTATATGAAACTTTGAGTTCTCCATAGGAATAAAACACTTCTCATTTATTTAAAGGCCTACGAATGACTTGGGATATCCAATGAATTCTGGAAAAATGCACAGCTTGGGCTGGAGACCTAAAGTGCCTTGGAATGAAGGAATAAAGAAAACCAGTATGTTGCATTGATACTAAATCTGGAATGAGAGTGGAAGGAAAATAGGGAAGCACTGTTTTCAAAAAAACTGTTTTTTTATAAGTTACTTTGGAGAGTAAGCTGTTTACTGAATTAGCTAAAGCTAGAATTTTTAAAGTAAAGGCTTTGAACCTCCCATTGTATTTTTGTTTGTATATACAGTCGTACCTTGGATCCCAAACTCCTTGGCTCTCGAACAAATCGGCTCCCGAACGATCGAAACCCGGAAGTGAGTGTTCTGGTTTTTGAACGTTCGTTTGGAAGCCGAATGTCCGGTGGGGCTTCTGCGGCTTCCGATTGGCTGCAGGAGCTTCCTACAGCCAATCAGAAGCCGCACTTTGGTTTCCAAATGTTTTGGAAGTCGAACGGACTTCTGGAATGGATTCTGTTTGACCTCCAATATATTGCTGCAATGGTAAGAGGAAATAAATGTTGCTTCTGTGAGCTTGAGAGTAGGCACTGTGTGTGGGGGAAGCAGTAAAAAATACGAGAATAAAAATTATCTACATCCAGGCAACTGTTAGACTAGACCACATAAGCACTTTTCACATACATCATTTAAGTTTGGACGTGGTATGTGCTTGGTTGCCGTTCGTGCTTTTTTTTCTAAAAAAAATGTTTAGGGGTACTCTCATTTTCCTACCCATATTGAAATACTGCCCCTCTATGAGGCCACACTTAGATTTATAAAATGTTTAGGGGTATGTGTACCCCTGCCCCGCAAAAAAGCACTGGTTTCCACCATTAGCTTAAGTGCCCAATTTAGTTCCTAGGCTGCTCTGGAAACTTGGCAAAGGACTGCAGACCTCGACTTAAACTTCCATAAGACAAATATTTGTTCACAAGCTAACCTGGAATTCAGGGCCGTCTGTGTGTGAGCAAAAGCCAACTCTGCTCGTGCAAGAATTGCCTGAGTTTCACCAACTTGTGCTAAAACCCTGTGGACCTTGAGGAGTGGGAGGGCCTTCTGAAGAGACACAAGAGCCTGTAGAGGAAATAGGATGGCTTGTTGTGAGAGCAGAGTTCTGCATACCTTGTCTCTGGTTCCAACCAGAGAAACAAGTCTGTATATGCTGTGAGATGAAATTGACTTCCTTTAGGGGCGATCAAATGTCCTGCTTAATCCTAAATGTCTGGCATTGTTACTCTGCTGTTAACAACATTTCAACATCATAAACCAAAACTTTTTATTTGTGCCTTTTGGTTCCTGAATCCTTGAAATGTGCTGCCAAAAAAAACATGAGACAGAAACCTTCTTCAAACTGAAAAATACACTGTCTTGATTAGAACTAGTACCCTGTAATCTGTCACCCTCTGCACTTAATGATTTTGTGTGTGTTTTTTTAGCCTGCATGGAATAGCACAGTAAGATTGCTTATTACATATTCATGCTTTGAAATCTTCCTTTTCTTGTGCTAGTTGAATGGTATCAAGAAAACTTCCACAACTGGAAGAATGCGGAGAAAGCTTTGGAGCCTTTTCCTGTTGCTGAAGAATCTGTATGATTTAGTCCGCGGCAAAGCTGTGAAGAAAAATAATAATGAAGGAAAACATTCTACCTCAAGATCATCACATTAATGAAAAACTGTACTCAAGCAGCAAAATGGGATTGTATTCATGGAATGTCAACTATCAATAATATCAAGAAAGACAATGGAGTACAATTTTACAGTATGGGCTGTAAGGGCTAACGCCTTTTAATCAGCATTCCAGTGCAATATTGAAGCTTTAATATTTTTCTATAAAAATAATAATTGAATTGGAGCAATTTTTATTAAATAATGCACTTTTTAATACAACTGTTTTGCATTTTAATTATTTATTAATGTATTGTATTGACAGGGTTATAGTTTTTTTACAACCCAGGCAGCAGATTTTGGTTCAGGAGTATTTTCTGCTTTTTGTAGTTGTATCTTCCTGTCCCAGAAGTCTATGCTTGGCCACGTGCTTGTTTTAAAATACTGTCATATCATGTATCCTCAACGATCTGGTAAGGAAATCTGTCTCTCGTTGCTCTACAGAAATTGAGCTTTGTAGACAGCCAAAGACTTCCCTGAACTCAAGAATACAGTATAGAAACCTGCCCTCATGCCAAATATTTATCATTTCTAATAGCTTCTTTCAATTTTTTTTTGAAGAATAACAGTGCTTCCAAATTTAATTTGCCTTTCTTGTTGCATAAAAGTATTTTAACTCTATGAACATGTGAAATTATGTGAACAATATTAAAATGTAAGACTACGTTAAATGTAGGACACATACCCAGTGGTGCTTTTTCTGAGCTAGACTTGGAGCTGTGTATTCAAAAGGTAGAAAAGTGCAACAGCTGACATCTGTTTTGTCACTGCGCAATCTAGCAGGTAACTCCCATGCTTTACTACAATTCTTCATAATAATAATAATAATAATAATGATAATAACAACAACAATAATTTATTTTTTTATATGCTGCCCCACTCTGGGCAGCTTCCAGCAAATTAGAACACCAAACGCAATAAAACTCCAAACATTAGAAACTTCCCTATACAGGGCTGCCTTCAGATAGCTGTTTATTTCCTTGACATATGACGGGAGGGCGTTCCGCAGGGAGGTCACCATTGCCAAGACGACCCTCTGTCTGGTTCCTTGTAACCATGCAGTGAGGGAACCGCCAGAAGGCCCTTGGAGCTGGACCTCAGTGTCTGGGCTAAATGATGAGGATGGAGACGCCTCTTCAAGTATACAGGGCCAAAACCATTTAGAGCTTTTGAGGTCAGCACCAACACTTTGAATTGTGCTCGGAAACATAATGGGAGACAGCTTAGATCTTTAGGCTGACATGTATCCCATAGTCTCTCATTTCACTTACAGTCACACCTTGGGTTGCAGACGCTTCAGGTTGCGCCAAACCCGGAGGTATCGGAACGGGTTACTTCTGGGTTTCGGCGCTCGTGCATGCGCAGAAACGCTAAATCGCTCTTTGCACATGCGCAGAAGTGGCGAATTGCGACGTGTGTGCGCAGATGCGGCGCTGTGGATTGCAAACACTGCGGGTTGCGAATGTGCCTCCCCCACGGATCACGTTCGCAACCCAAGCATCCACTGTACTGTTGATGCCACTTGGCACATTCTATCTAAAGGTACTGAAAATATCAAACCCAATTAGCCTGGACAGTGGTACCTCGGGTTACATACGCTTCAGGTTACATATGCTTCAGGTTACAGACTCCGCTAATCCAGAAATATTACCTCAGGTTAAGAACTTTGCTTCAGGATGAGAACAGAAATCGCCCGGCGGCAGCGGGAGGCCCCATTAGCTAAAGTGGTGCTTCAGGTTAAGAACAGACCTCCAGAATAAATTGAGTTCTTAACCTGAGGTACCACTGTACATTGCTTTATGTTGATAGAGATACTGAACCAGTGACAAATATTCTTCATCACAAGCTGCAGTCATATAAAGGCGCTCTGTCAAACCCCTTGAACATTGAATCCAAGTCTAAAACACTAACCACATTCTGTCGTGCCAAAAGTGTCGTGTGAATTTACCATTACTCTCTTCCCAAAGCTTTCAGTATGAGGAAACTGATCATGCTATTCTGTGGCCAAATTTCAAGTCATGCTGGCCACTGGTGAAGCATTTGCCTATATGACAGAGGGAGCTTGCCTTAGGCCAACTTGGACCATTGATTCATCTATTGTTGACACTGACTTAAGAAATGGCTGTCCAAGGTTTCAGGCCGAAGTCTTCCCCAGCCCTGCCTGGGGACACCCAGGGATGGAGACCTTTTGCGTGCAAGGCATACGCTGTACCACCAAACTACGGCTGTCATGTCATTTAAATGTTCTTATCGCTTGTTCTGGTCCATATGCCTGCCATGTTGGCGTGCCAGCAGCAGCTCTGTAGGGCTCAGAATTCACCAGCATGCAAATATCGCATGTGATAAAGAGAATTTAAACAAGATGCTGGCTTTGTGGAATGCTTACCTGAGTAAATGGCTGGCCCAAGAGGAATGCATACATGTCCATATTGTGTAAAAAAAGTAAAATGCGAAAGAGGACAGACTATAATTGAAATGGCATAGGCTACACATTCAATACTATTATAACACAGGAATCGAGCTAAAGGCTTATAAACCCCTAACTCTGTTTAGCTCCTGAAATGAAAGATGCGAAAATGGAGTAGTTTACCTTTGTCCCACTTTTTTTTCTTTCAAAAATTTTATTAGTTTTCACAATATTATAAACAAACAAACAAACAAACACACAAGACAAACAAACAAAAATCATAACCTTATTGAAAATTACAGTTATTAACTTTGTTAAGTGACTTCCTCACATCCCCTTGGTTGAATTTCATTGCATGTCCTTTTAACAGTTTTCCAAATCCCAATTTCTATGAAATTTAACTTAAACATTAGCATCCTTAGATCTTCACCTTATGGAATTAAACATATTAATTAATCACTTAACAAATAAAATCCTAAGCCCATTAAGCATCTGCAAGCTATTTTCAGTTAATTTAACTTAACAAATTTAACTAAATAATCATTAAATTTATTCCACTCTTCCTGATACTCCTCCTCCTTCTGGTCGCAGACTCTTCCGGTTAGGTTGGCTAGCTCCGAAAATTCCATCATCTTCATCTGCCATTCTTCTATTGTTGGTAATTCTTGGGTTTTCCACTTTTTAGCTAACAAAATACAAGCAGCAGTTGTGGCATACAAAAATAATTTAACATCTTTCTTGGGCAATTCCAAACCTGTTATTCCAAGAAGGGCAGGGACGCGGGTGGCGCTGTGGGTTAAAGCCTCAGCATCTAGGACTTGCCGATCGAAAGGTCGGCGGTTCGAATCCCCGCGGCGGGGTGCGCTCCCGTCGTTCGGTCCCAGCGCCTGCCAACCTAGCAGTTCGAAAGCACCTCCGGGTGCAAGTAGATAAATAGGGACCGCTTACCAGCGGGAATGTAAACGGCGTTCCGTGTGCTGCGCTGGCTCGCCAGATGCAGCTTTGTCACGCTGGCCACGTGACCCGGAAGTGTCTGCGGGCAGCGCTGGCTCCCGGCCTATATAGTGAGATGAGCGCACAACCCTAGAGTCTGTCAAGACTGGCCCGTACGGGCAGGGGTACCTTTACCTTTATTCCAAGAAGAAAGGCCTCTGGTTTCTTTATAAATGGATATTTCAACATTTTGTTCAATTCATTATAAATCTTTTCCCAGAAGTCTTTCACCTAGGGACAGGTCCACCACATATGATAAAAGGTTCCTTCCTTTTCTTTACATTTCCAGCATATATTGTCACAATTATGATATATCCTTGCTAATTTTACAGGAGTCAAATACCATCTATACATCATTTTCATTATATTTTTCCTTTAACAAAGTACATGCGGTGAACTTGTTTGTCCCACTTTTTTTTAAATTGAAGACTAAATCAGATGAATCCCTCAAAGGCATGTTTCCTCACTATGTTAGTTGTATGGAATAATTCATTAATTATGGTCATTTAAAAAACAACAACACAGAGAACTTTGATGGCTACTACTTGAAAGCACTACTTGCCTCCTTTAAATGACCTCCCCCAGTCAATGTGTTTTGATGAGTGCAATGTGCCATCCTTTGAAAACAACCCAGGACCGTCAGCTGGTTCAGAGGACGCCAGCACACATTTTTGTCGTCTGCGAGGACTTCCGGTCTGTGTCCAATTCAAAGTGCTGCCGTTAACCTTCAAAGCCCCAAATAATTTTGCGCCAGGTTATCTTAAAGGACTGCCTTTCCCCATAAATACCGCTCAAGCTTGGCCCCTAAGATCTTGTGATGTTCTGCATGTTCCCCCACCCAATGAAGTGAGGTGGGGGAACCTTTTGGGTTAATAGCAACCCACTGCAATGCCCTCAAAGATACTAGCATTATAACCTACCACCAGGTAAAACACTTTTTATTCTTACAGGCCTTTGCACAATATTTGCATATTTTTAGTACTTTTTATATTCCTCACCCCTTTGGGTTTTTATGCTGTTTCATGTTGATTTATGCTGCTGGGGGCATTTTTGCTTGTTTTATCTTTTTTTATATGTCTATAATTTTTATTAAATTTTCCGTTTTACAATGTAAAGTACTCATTTTTACATCTTTAAAGTATCAGTGACTTCCCTTCTTCTCTTTCCATGGTACATTTTACTTTACCTGCATATTTTAACAGAAACAATACCATTCAGTATTCCATTATTACATCCATCAAACTTATTTACACTGTTGAGTTTTTTTTCAAAAAATCCCTAAGCCCCGGGGTCACAATTTCAGCAAAAATCTGACTTTCGGCAATTTACTCAAAAATGGTGCCAAACGGTTGCAAATGTTCCCCTGAGAGGTTTGGCGGTCGAAACAGAAGGCTTTTTATCACAGGACAAGAAATCAGCCCTAAACAACTTCACCGGCAGAAAAAGATTTTTTTGAAAAAATCCCTAAGCCCCGGGGTCACAATTTCAGCAAAAATCTGACTTTCGGCAATTTACTCAAAAATGGTGCCAAACGGTTGCAAATGTTCCCCTGAGAGGTTTGGCGGTCGAAACAGAAGGCTTTTTATCACAGGACAAGAAATCAGCCCTAAACAACTTCACCGGCAGAAAAAGATTTTTTTGAAAAAATCCCTAAGCCCCGGGGTCACAATTTCAGCAAAAATCTGACTTTCGGCAATTTACTCAAAAATGGTGCCAAACGGTTGCAAATGTTCCCCTGAGAGGTTTGGCGGTCGAAACAGAAGGCTTTTTATCACAGGACAAGAAATCAGCCCTAAACAACTTCACCGGCAGAAAAAGATTTTTTTGAAAAAATCCCTAAGCCCGGGGTCACAATTTCAGCAAAAATCTGACTTTCGGCAATTTACTCAAAAATGGTGCCAAACGGTTGCAAATGTTCCCCTGAGAGGTTTGGCGGTCGAAACAGAAGGCTTTTTATCACAGGACAAGAAATCAGCCCTAAACAACTTCACCGGCAGAAAAAGATTTTTTTGAAAAAATCCCTAAGCCCCGGGGTCACAATTTCAGCAAAAATCTGACTTTCGGCAATTTACTCAAAAATGGTGCCAAACGGTTGCAAATGTTCCCCTGAGAGGTTTGGCGGTCGAAACAGAAGGCTTTTTATCACAGGACAAGAAATCAGCCCTAAACAACGTCACCGGCAGAAAAAGATTTTTTTGAAAAAATCCCTAAGCCCCGGGGTCACAATTTCAGCAAAAATCTGACTTTCGGCAATTTACTCAAAAATGGTGCCAAACGGTTGCAA